AGAAATGTCGGTAACACACTTATTCACACACACAACAACAGAAATGTCGGTAACACACTTATTCACACACACAACGACAGAAATGTCGGTAACACACTTATTCACACACACAACGACAGAAATATCGGTAACATAGATACACACACGACAGAAATGTCGATAACATACTCACACACACGACAGTAATGTCGGTGCCGGTAACACACTTATTCACACATACAACGACAGAAATATCGGTAACATAGATACACACATAACTATAGAAAGATCATCGACATAATTCAGTAATGCCAACTCATTGTTATTAAAAATGGACAAAATGATCCCATGTGGAGAGGCGGATATTTCAACCACGAAACGAGGAAATTAAATACCACATACATGCTAGATTACCCAAAATCCTCAGTGTTTTTTTAGACAGACCCAAAGCTAAATTTAGCTGTTGATGAGGGACAGCTAGCTAGCTGAAACAAACAATGTAGAAAAGCAGAGGTGTAAGATACTGGACTTTCACACCTATCCGAGCAATGTATGAGAAATCAGCGCAGAAAATTAAGTAATACATCTCTTTATCCCTTACTTCCAAAATAATATATCTTTATTAAGAATAAGAGAACAACTTAATTACTGTAACCCCTTTGGAACAGACTTAATAAAGGTGGAGACACAACTAATCCTTGTGTGACGTTTAACTTGTTTTTCACACTACTAGGTCTATTACAGCAGTGACAGAGAAGAATTAATATGTACATCAGATGAATGCTATTCTTTTTCATGTTACACCCGATGAGATGGTGACGCCCAAACCATGCACATGTAGTTTTACACTAAAATAGCGAATGAAATTGTTAGTGTCTTCTGTGTTAAAACATCTACCACGATTATAAACTTAGTAATTTCAACTTACCGATAAGCACTAAGTGCAAAACTTGGATTCGTATTGTTGAAAAAGTAAATAAATTCGAGGAAATTCGTAAAAGCTTCAGTCTAGAAGAATTCAACTGGTTTTATCGCCATTTTCGCATCCCGCCTCTTCCAGTCGTCGTTCTGACTGAAAATGCTCGTGGTCCCAGAACAGACTGGGCCAGCAAATAACCCCTGTTCAGGGAGGAGGGCGCCACTTTTAGCATCATCCAAGCACGTGCTTCCCATGAGCAAAAATCAGCAGGATGGTACGATATTTGGAAGAGGGTGTGATACTGCAAACGTGTGTGTACGAAGATGGGAGAATAACATGCAACCTTCCGGAGTTAAGTATGTGTGGTTGAAACAAAATAGGCATTTAATTCTTAAGAATTCGAATTACTATAGTTTTTATTAGGAAAGAGCAAAACATTTCTTTTCAGTCCGTTTAGTGGTAAAACATGATGTTTACTAATAAATAAATATTATTTATCAAACTTGTCTTACGTCTATTAAATTAGATATGATCTGTAAAAATAATCAAATATTTCTTTTAAACTTGCCTTTCCTTGCATGATGGCTTTTTTTTATTTTTTGTTAGAAATGAAATAATTCTAAGCTATGATGTGTGTGTGACTCATAAAGAAAGCGTTTTACACATAGTTCGTTCAAGTAGATTCGAATACAAGGTAGATGAGCTTGTTAAGGCAAGAAGGAAGGCTTAGTGCCTCTAAAGTCTATTATTTACACGTGTTTAAACATTAGTAATAGTATGGACCCTAACATTTTTTAAAAACATTTTTCAAAACTATTTATAAGTCAGATTTATTGTGGGACCATGACTTCGTTAATTACAAGATCCTGAATAACAAGTTAGTCACATAATAAAATATAAACAAAAATACCATTGTTGTAGGTTATGTTTTATTTTAGACGTTTGTGTGTTTCCTTCTTTTGGTTGGGGAATTTTTACGTCATTTGCTGAGCACGTGGCTTAATAACTAGAACTTTATTCAATGTGTAAGAAGTGATTGGTACGATAGAAAACGCGAGTCAGACTAATGTGAGATTTTGCGAGTCTGTTACAGTGGGATTTTAACTACAGAGTTTGTTAATTAATTTGTATTTTACTTTAGTTTCTTGAATGTTTATTTAGTTTGTGTTTCAACAGTGTAGTAGAGGTAGGAGGAAGCTATGTGTACATGAGAGAAAGTTACCAATTAAGTAAAATTGTTATGTTAACGTTCATTGTAGTGAACGTTAATTAAGTTCATTTGTAAGGCTGTAGAATCTAAAGTTCAAGAAATTCCGTAACTTCGTTCCGACGAAATTTTAGCGACACAAGTCCTTACTTAATAAAACTGGTTTATTCTTTCCGAATATAACTTTACGATACACTTAATTTCAATATTCACGCTAAAACAAACACTATAATGAACGAACGTTAACTTCAACAATACCCTGTGACTGCAGTTCAATTACTCACTATCTACACACACATTACCGTCACGTTGTCACCCTCTTTTATATACCAGACTACCCTATATCTAGTAGATACTAGAGCATTCGCCAAGGTACAGGATAGTTCTAGAAAATAGGTGGCGCCACACCAGTCACGTGACCTCGATGACACAACAACTCCTTTGTTATCGTTAGGTGGACTGGACTTTAAATTCTTATTTTTTGCCGAATAATGTAAAACAACCCATTCAACAATAAAACCGTTACAATATTATCAATACTACAATTAATTCCATTAATTACTGTTGGGATTCCCTATTGATTTGAAATAGAAACTGTGTGATTTCTCCCTTTTTTGAGTAAATTCTTCACATTTAGTGTTGTTATAAGCAAAAACGTAAAATTACTCAATATGATGTAATATATGAACCCTACCGATAGTGAACGGTATGAAACGAAGTTGGTAAATCGAGTTACAAAACAGACCAATGCATGCATGTATGGAAGAGCATTAACACCCATTTCATTCCCCACCTACTTGAGGTATGCGATGGTTGAATGGGAAGTATGACTAGAAAATTTATCTTGGTGAATCCATGCTCTACTGGCCTAACCTCCAGACGAAAATTCTTGATTCTCTTTAGTACTGTTATCGGATGCAGTGGATAGTTTTTGCCCTAACCTTGTGTTATTGGCTTCTGGTTTGTTTACCAAGGCTGGGTTTATTACTTGTTGCAGGTCTCTTTCTGGATAGTCCTGGAGTCACAGGTTTGTGTTTCAATATCATTAAGTGCAAAGGATATCCGTGTCTTGGAAATTCTAAATCTGAGCACATGAATATTTTTCGTCGGAAAGGACTGTTGCATACCCTCGTCACAAGCAATTAGTTTCTTGATGCACCAAACTACCTACAAAACGTCAAACTATGTCAAAATGTAGTTCCCACACATTCCGCCGAATTTATTAACAGGGTGTTTTATATTCAGTAGCGGATATTTCGCGGATATTGTATGTTGGCCCAGCTGCTTCGATCACGTACACGAACGTATTGCGTGAATATATTAGCAAGTATATTAGCAGGACTCTGTTGTTGAATGACTTTGATTGAAGTTGCTGTTTGTATATATAGAACAGCAGAAATGTAATGCTGCATATAAAACTACCAGATATCTTAAAATAATTTCCCAAGTAAAAATTTTAGAATACTTACAGTAACAACGTATAACCATCATCAAATAGATATACAGGTATACCTGTTACGCGATTTAATTTTTAGCACCAGAATTGCTTTAACGTGCTGCATGATTTCGAGTCACGCGGATTTTAAATACAGGCGAGGGCGATGACGAATCAAAGTACACAGGCCTGCGATAGTTTTATTGTCAAAGTTTTAAAATGTTCTACAGTAATTCCTGTACGCTGAAACCGAAAATGGTATCCATTTTTCTCCACCACGTACAGATTTTTCACAAAACGTCATAACGTAATACATAAAAGAAAGCCCACAACACATAGTTTTGAGACTAAAAGACGTAGATTTCACAAAAGGAAAATCTGGATGAATGAGAATGCATATTTGTTTGACATCAATGTTCTACCCTTTTCTTCAGTTTGTTTATATTTTGGTTAACAAACATAATAATAAAAATATTCATTGTGGTAAACGAAATGTTAATTTGATCTAAGAAAGAGTTGTTCTTTTCCTTCCCAATTTGTAAAAAATCGTTACGTGATATAAAAAAATGAAAATTATTTTCGAAATCTGCGTCTCTGAATTATTGAAAATCCGTTATTAAAACCAAAACAGCTTTTATAAAGTTTAAATTCGCAGACCTGTGTAATATATTCATATTCAGTATGTACAAAGTACATTCTCTACCATGATCTGTTCACACATTTCATGATTTAAATGAAAAGCATGTGCTTAAAATATTTGTCTTGTTTATGAATTCTACTCAGTTGGAGTTTTTACAAAGCTCATATTTTGATCATTTGACAAATGCATCAGCGACGAGATGGGGCGGTTGTTACTTTCAGAGATTACACATTCTATATTTGTGTGTTTGTAATCACAATCATTTGTAATATTAGAAATAGAATTCAACTGGTTAATTCTTACCCCTGACCATGAGAATCACTTTACACACAGATTCGATCTGTAGACTACGTGAAAATCAAATATTCTAACCTATTGTTACGTCTCTGGTCTTTAGTTTCCCATATAATTTCTTTCCGATGAAACTTTAGCGACACAAGTCCTTTTTTAAATAAAACTGGTTTATTCGACTGTGGAAATTAAGTGTATTGCAAAGTTGTATTCAGAAAGCGCTATAACAAACGCTATAATTCACAAAGAATGTCTCACGTGCTCGACTCAACTGTCCGTATCTATCTCTCTCTCTGCAGTTCAATTACACATTGTTGCCGTCAGTTCTTACCGGTCTTATATATACAAGAATACCGCATATCTACTAGCCTCTCGAGACTTCAGGAAGGGACGTAAACGTTCGAGAATATGACGTGTTACTAGAATCACGTGACACCCGCTGTCGTAACACTATGTTCTGCGGTTTCTGGTTTATATCTAGGTAGCAGTGTGGAAAATAAATGTTTAGTCATAAGTGTCTTACAAATTCAGAACATTTTAGTTTCGTCATACAAGTTTAACTCCATTTTTTTTTGCGCGTTCTGCCGAAATTATTTTCATGATTTCCTAATAATTATCACCATACCTTATAAAATTTCAATTTTCTTAATTTTGTTTTTTTTCCTTCAGCAACAGGGGTAGCCACATGAAGCATTATCGAGTAAATAGCCTCAAATCTCTCCTTGTTGAACATTTGATGTCACCGTCCAATGGGTAAATCGGGAATTTCGTACAGACGCAGGGAGCGTCCGCTCGGGTTTAAGGAGTTAAAACAAAAAATATGCTCATTTGCCAGCTATTATTTAGTGTTCGTTACAAATACTCAAATCTCTCTCGGCGGAAAATGATTTTAAGTCGTTTTAAGGTGAATTCATTTCTCAGTTATCAATTCTGTCATTTTTCGTGAAAAAGTTTTCAGTACTGATCGGACAGTGGTGTTGTTAAATACAATTCTGGCTTCTTTGATTTATTATTCATTTTAAGAAGTATTTTTATCGCTGATAAATCAGAATTCAACTTTGTGTCAGTTTTTTAATAGCTAGAGTCTCTTGTAACTTACATCTAGCTCGTTGTTGGAACTCTGTTACTATACCAAAGTTATTTTTATCGGCATCGTCCGTCACATTCGTGGCCTAACATATTTTATACAAATCAATACTGCTAATTTATGCGGACCGAAACTTCAACAATATACACATCAATACTAACAGCTACAATAGATGATGAAATGGGAGGTAAAGCCCATTTCAAAATGTTTCTTAATTTGACAAGGAATAAAAAATAATACCTAAATCATGTAAATACATCCCACCTTATTGGAATGGGGTCTGAAGCGCATTATTGTTTTACAACAATGTATCATTACATCAACAATATCGATAAAAACCATTATTGTTGACCTTGACAAAATGGTTTGCCGTTACGGCGTATCGTATTGGACCGGCTTACTTTTATCCTTGTGGTAAAAATGTTTGACGAATTCCCAGTAGTCCAATCTAATTGTGATAGGTATTTAGGTTTAATAACCCAGGGGTGGTAAGAAATTAGTTATTTCTCTTCGCCC